CTCTACTTAAAAAAAAGAATAAATGAACCCCGTTTTTTTGAAGATGCAGCAATGACTGGTTTAGACACTGTTCCTGGGAAACCCCTTTTTCCCCCTGAGTAAATGTAGGGCCTGTTTGGTATTTTCTTCCAAAAAGGCCTTATCAAACCTTTTGTAAGTCACTAGATTCTTAAAACTTCAAACCCAACCTTTTTGGCTTTAAAATTCACCAATATGAGCACTTTTCCAGGGATTTTTCCCTGTTTACCTGGGTTAGTCGACTGGGGTGGGGTTTCATCCCGGGGGGGAAAATTAAGGCCCAAATGGAAAAAAATTTTGTCTTTGGGTACAATGACTTTTTTTGGGTTTTCCCCGGGGGGCAAAAACCTTTCCCCCCCCCCCGGGTTATTGTTTCCCTTTGGGTTTTTTCAAAAGCCACACCAACAAAGGGGCTACAGCAGCAGCAACCCGCTGATGGTTTTACAGCACAACAGACGATTTCTCAAAACAGCAACAGACGATGCACAGCAGCAAAACCCACCCATGCTACAGGCGCAGGTGTTTCTACGCAGCAGCAGCAGCAGCTTTACGGTGGGACAGCAGGGAACAGACATGCTCCCCGCAGAGGGGATGCTAACAGCAACAGACGATGCACAGAGCAGCAGCAGCTGACGTTGGGGGCAGCAGCAAAAAACCCATGCTACAGCAGCGCGACGATGCTACAGCAGCAGCGAAAGTGCTACAGGGAGCCCCAGCAGCTGCTGGGCCGGGGGGGTACGCAGCAAAAGGGGCGATGCTAACAGCACAGACGATGCAACCCCCAACAGACGATTTCAGCAGCAGCAAGGAAAGATGCTTTCAGCAGCAGCGCAGTGACGGGGGTACAACACAAAAAGACTCTTTACAAACAGCAAAAAGAAGATGGACAGCAGCAGCAGACGATGCTTCGCAGCAGCAGCACGAAAGGTGGGAAAAAGCAGCAACAGACGATGCAACAGCAAACAGAAAGATGTTACAGCAGCGCAGACGATGCAAAAGCAGCAGCGCAGCTGCCCGTGCAGCAGCCCGCAGCAGCGTACCACCAATTTTAGCGATGGGTTTAATTGGGGGTTTTTTTACAAAACCTTTGGGCCCGCTCGGAGACACGCCTCCACTTTCATACTTATCAATGATCTTTTTCTTCTCTTATTGTAATTTCTCACCTTATTGCTGTAGGGTTGGCACTAAAAGCTTTCTTGGGGCCCATGTCACTTATTTTACAGAAAAAGCACCGAAAACACTGTAATAATCGAATTTTCCCGATTGATGCTTGGATGTTCCCGCGGGGGCTGGGGGGGGGTAACAATGCACCGGCGGAACATGTGAGCGTGGCTCGGGGCCGCACCATTGGACGCGTCTCGACGAAATCGGGGTGAGCGGGTTTTTAAGCGGATGCGGGGGGGGCAAAATTTTTTGCGTTAAGCAAGCGGATGCGGATTAATCGTTATTGTGATGCCATCGTTGCGGGTTCCCCCTGTATTGTTCACACGTAGGAAATCAGCGAGGCATAGGGTTTGGGTAACCAGTTTCTGTTTTTACAATGTATGGCCCTTGTCAAGGTATGGTTCCATCATTTTTCGAACATCGCCAGAAATGCCCAACATGCGCCTGGTATCAGCGAGTGTTTTTTTCCCCGGTATATTCAATCACATCCAACACAAGACCACTCTCACAGTCACACACAAAATGTTTTATACCAAAGCGATGACGTTTGCTTGGTATATATTGTTTGAATGACAAGCGTCCCTTGAACAGAATCAAGGACTTGTCAACAACAATGTTCTTGAAGGGATAAAAGTAGGCACTGAATTTCTGCTTCATATAGATAAACACTTCACGGATTTTATATAGGTCATTTCTGTTGGGCCTATTCCTGTCTGAGAAGTGCAACATTTGTAGCAATAGAATGAATCTGTTGCAGGGAAGGAGGTCACAGAAGACAGGAGTACTGATCAAGTAGTCTGTGGCCCAGTAGTTACGTATATTGTTCTTATAGGTATGTGGCATAAGCATGACAGTGGCAAGGAATAAATACATTTCATCCATTGTTGTATCTTTCCATCTGCGCAGCTATGACGATTCCCCAACCTCTGTTGTATTGTCCATGATATAGTGGTAATAATTGTTCGTCTGGGTCACTATCAAGTTCATTAAAGGCTCGTCAAAGTATAACTTGAAGTCTAACTTTGTAGACTCATTCGTTATGGGACATTTTGGCAGGATGCCACTTGCAATCGCATCAAAATCAAAAGGCTCTGGCACGAATATACTACTTTGTGTCCAGTTCCACTCTCGGTCACATGCTGCAGGGTGGACCTCTGGCATGGGGCGTGGGGGAGCAGGAGGGGGGACAGGAGTGGAGGCAGCACATGGTTGAGGGGGTGCTGGGCGCTCCTTTGTCTTTCTACCCACCACACCCTGTGGTCCATGCACCGTGCCATCCACCGCTATTTCCTCCATCCCCGCATATTTACCGTCATGATCACTTTCACTATCAGTAGCAGGGGTTTTGGATCATGACCTGCCACGACCCTTGCCGCCGACTGCAAATGGCACACTGCCTGAACGTAGGTAATGACGCCTAAAAGTACGCTTCACTGGTGAATAATGATCACTGTCACTAGACGAATCCTCTAATGGCATAAAATAAATCTCGTCACTTATATCACTATCACTAAAACACCGGGAAAATGATAGTTTCCTCTTGCGTAGTTGCCTATGTGTAACACTCACCACTCCAGAGATGCTTGGCCCAAGGTCTTGTGTGGCCACACTTGCCACCCCAGAAGTGCTTGGCCCAGGGTCTGGTGTGGCCACACTGGCCACCCCAGAAGTGCTTGGCCTAGGGTCTGGTGTGGCCACACAGGCCACCCCAGAGGTGATGGGCTGAGGGTCATCTGGGTTATCGTCTATATTTTCACTATTTCCTTGATTATTAGTAGACACATCTGCGTCAAATCCACTAAACTGACGTGCCATATCACTTCCTCGAATAATAGTGCTAATGCGACGAGGCGTGAGTGAATCACAAGGATGTGCCATGATGTTGACCGAAGATGGAGCTGAATGTAACTGGTCCTACCATGCAGTACCCAGGCGTCCCAGATTTTTTTGATACTGCGCACACTGAGTACGCACATTCATTCTCTCATGTCTACGCGACTCAGGCCTAACGCGCCAATTTTGAAGGAATGAAAAATAAAATGTAAATATACGTTTGAGGCAGTAGCAGTGAAAACGTATATATACATTTGGACCGTTTACGGGTTAATCTTTACAAAAATTATTTTCATTAATAGTATTTTTGGGGTGTCTGGAATGGATTAATGTCGAATCAATTTTTCTCATTGAAATTACACCTACCATCTGACTTACGACCTGCTCGACTTACGACCACTCGACTTAGGACCGTGTTTTTTATGCCAAATTTCTGGGAAATAAACAACTACAGTGGACCCCTGGTTTACGATATTTCATTCCAGAAGTATGTTCAGGTGCCAGTACTGAATGAATTTGTTCCCATAAGGAATATTGTGAATTAGATTAGTCCATTTCAGACCCCCAAACATACATGTACAAACGCACTTACATAATTAGTCGCATTGGGAGGTGATTGTAAAGCGGGGGTCCACTGTATTTGTGTTGTACACAGTGTTTATCCTAAACCTTACAGTATAAAATACAGTACTAACAGCATAAAAAGTAAAGTAAAACATGAAATACCAAAATAAAACAATAAAATAGTCATTACAAAAATGTTTTGTTGATATTCAGTAGTAAAGTTCGACTTAGGACCAGTTTCTCAGAACTGAACTCGGTCATAAGTCGGATGGTAGGTGTAATTGAAATGCCATTAATCCGTCCCAGCTGCAAAAAAAGGAAAAAACCCAATTTTTTTGTTATGGGTTTTTAAATGAGCCTTTTTTGCCAGGTCCCAGCAATGTTTTAGAAATGCTTGAGTATATATGAAACTCCTTTAAGCACGGTGTAAGATAAGTATCACTCCTCTGGCAATGGAGTGACATTTGATGATCGTACACTGCCTTGGATTTAATTTTCACTGTTACAAATAAACTTGTCTGTCTGTTTCTGTACTGTATGCCTATCTGTCTATGTTTATCTCTGTCTCTGCTTTCTGTCTTTGTGTCTGCCTGTGTTTCTGTCTTCCTGTCTCTTTACTTGTCTCACTGCCTCAGAGAGAGCCGCTCAGGAACTAACAGGTATAACACACGATGCAGTCAGTCATGTCTGATTCCTGAACAAGTGAAAATGTGTACGTATTACATGCCAGTCATGCTTATTATGCCTTATATCAACAGAGAGAGACACACAGAGTTAGATAGATACAGACAGACAGAAGGAGATAGAGACAGCCAGAGCAAATCAGCCAGTCAGCCAGCTGGCCTGCCGAACATGTATTACACATGTTCTAGAATTGTTTCTCTTTACTTAGGGCATATGTTAGAAAACATTGTGGCAGGATGACACTACCAGTTGTATCAAAACTGAAAGTATGTTACACATTGGTTATTATCGAGGTTTTTAATATTTCCTCTCTCCTGCGAGTGGCGGCATATCTGAAGTTCGCTCGTAACTCGGATTTTGGCTCACAATTCAAAGCAAAAAATCGACCAAGCGATGGCTCGTAACTCGGAAAACTCGTAAGTTGGGCACTCATAAGTCAAGGTACCACTGTATATGCTGTATAATAATAAAAACTCAAGACTATAATCTGATATTGTATATTCCTTGTCAGTATGTACAGTTGGCTGTTTCTAATTGTTTTAAACTTGGCACACACATACATTGTAGGCTTCGGTACATTACACTGTTGTTTCTAACTACAGTAGTCTGAATTTTGAGGTTATTATTATAAGATTTATTACATACTGTACAAATTAACATGCATTCTTCTGTTTGAATGAATACCTTTCTCATTCACATTAGCTAGTTAGTACAATTATGATTTTTTTTTTTTTCAGAAAAATGTTTGTTGGGGGATTGTCATGGGAGACAACGCAGGAGTCTCTGCAGCGTTACTTTGGCCAGTATGGGGAGGTAATAGACTGTGTGGTCATGAAGAACAGTGAGACTGGCAGGTCTAGAGGCTTTGGCTTTGTTACCTTTGCTGATCCTAATAAAGTTGACTCGGTTCTGAAGAATGGACCCCACGAGCTTGATGGACGTACGGTAAGTTAATGATAGGTGACGTTTCATCTTTTAACAGCTTTACTTGCTGTTGAAAAAAATTGAGGTTCAGTAATCATTGTTTATTTTTGGGTCAAATCTTAGGCTTGGTATGGCATTCTGGTTCAACATTTTTTTTTTTTTCCACTAAAAATTTGAAATCATGTGTCTAAAAACTCAAATAATGGTACAGGTGCTTGCTTATATAAGCAGATCAGCATAGATATGTAGCATGTTAAATGTGGACATTTGATACCAAATAAAAGTTAGAAATTCAGTTGCTAAGTTTTGTCCAATTATATATTGTGTCGTGTTCCAAATTTGGGTTGCGTTCTTAATGTTTGGGAAGCTGTGTATACATTACATTAGCTGTGTCTTATGCAAGTCCACATTGTTAAGTAACCACGTCCTAATTGGTAATTTCAAGTTATATGCTGTGACATTAATTTTTGATCATTGCTTGTCATTGTTTTCTGAATTTATTAGCACAGGATTTTTACTGTAATGAATTTGCACCAACATAACTCTGTCTTCCAGTGAGCAATAGAGAGTAACATATTCAGTGGCAAAAATATCCAACTGCTTAGATAAGGAAAGAATGAGGAACTCAAATAGGGCACTGTATACAAAATGCAGGTAAATTACTAGACCAAAAGGAGCATGTGAAAGACCTGGGTGTAATATTGTCAGTGGACCGATCTTTTAGCTCTTTCACTGTCATGACTCCCAAAATTAGAGGTCCTTAACCCTTTGACTGTTTCAGGCCCCTCTCTGAAACTGTCATTCTATGTCGCTCAATTTTTGAAAAAAAAAAAAATTATTTTTTCTTATGAAATGATAGAGAATCTTTTCCCGATGGTAATGACACCAAAAGTTCGAAATTTGGTCGAAAACTCGTGGAATTATGCTCCCGCGAAGTTAGCGGTCTCGGCGACATATGCGTATCGGCGATTTCGCCGACTTTGAGCCCAATTTTCAGCCAATTCCATTGTTCCAGTTGACCAAACTCATAGCTATTTCTTTAGAACTCCATTTTATCTATCAGCTGAGTACAAGAAACCTCCCATTTACTAATTTGGACTACCCAATATGGTGGTCAGAAATTGGCAATTTGGCCAATTTCACACAAAATAAAAAAGATGCCAATTTCAAAATAGGGTCCAGAATAAACAAGGTAGACATTCGTGGCACTAAAAAAAACATATGCTCTGTTCATTAGTCACATCTCTAGGCCCCTCTTATATTATTATTGCTTTCTATTTTGATTTTTTATTCATACAAAAAAATACAAAATTTACTGTTATGCAGACGACTGCATTTTGTAAAAATGGTATAAATAATATCAGTGCACTAGTGAAAGAATATTAGACTCCCCAGTTGACGTGTATTGGACGTGTTGTGTGATTTATGTACTCTTGAACATTGGTAAAAATCGAACATTTCCGCTACTTTGAGCTCAGTTTCAAGGTCGTTTTCATCATAAAAGTAATGAAAATCATCTCTATTTCTGTAATATGTTTTCCATTTTATCACCTAAGACCATGAAAACGCGAATACAATGATAAATACTATACGAAAATACACCTCAAAGTCGGCGTTTTATTCCAAAAAAAACGATCAGTTTTTTTTTTCTCATTACGCAATGTGTGCTGCAGGATTTTTTTTATGTGGTGCACACTGACCACACAGACCCATTCTCTCACATGTGGGCCTACCAGCTTTCTCCCACTTGATTTGAAGCTGCTAGAATTATTGAGTATATATACGTCAGAAACATTGGCTCGTAAGACGTATTTATACGTCGAAAACAGTCAAAGGGTTAAGTGTTACATAAAAAAAAAGTAATTGATCTAAAATGGTAGAGAATCTTTATCTGGAGGTATTGGTACCCAAAAATACAAAATTTAATAGAAAAGTTGGTTAATTATGCAGGCAGTCTGGGTCTAATTTGAGGCCTGTTTCACTATCACCTTTCTGTTGAGTGCAAGAAACTGCCCATAAGTTCAACATAAACTCAGTAGGCATTCCAGTCACTAAAGCAACCTTGCTTTGGTTCAGTAATACCCCAAGGCTTACCTTACATTTTGAATCAATCACAAAAATAAGTTTTTACTCTTCTTTTACATACATGTATATACAGTGGACCCCCGGTATTCGATAAATCTGGTATTCGATGCATTTTAATGCAAAAATTTTGCCTCGGTATCCAATTGAAAACCCGGTATTCGATACGATTCGTACGAGACGTGTCCACGTTTGGCCTGAACTGCCCTGTGTGTGCCAGTGTTTACAAGCCAGCCAGTGTGCGCGCATCTAAGGATACATTCGGTACATTCCATATTATCACTGTTTTTGGTGCTTGTTTCTGCAAAATAAGTCATCATGGGCCCCAAGAAAGCTTCTAGTGCCAACCCTGTGGTAAAAAGGGTGAGAATTAGTATGGAAATTAAGAAAGATTTTGAAGGGTTTGGGGCTAACCCTGAGAAGCCTATGCCAGTTGTGGAATCCATTGTGCCTACTTCAAAAATTAAGGAAATGTGTGCACAGTGGGTTGAACTGCTAACCTTTATGGATGAAAATCACCCTAACACAGCTATTGCAAGCCGTGCTGGTGACTATTACAATGACAATGTTGTGGCCCATTTTAGACAAATCGTAAAGGAACGGGAGATACAGAGCTCTATGGACAGATTTGTTGTGCGACAGAGGTCCAGTGACTCTCAAGCTGGTCCTAGTGACATTAAAAAGAAGGGAAGTAACCCCGGAAAAGGACTTGCTAACTCAAGTCGTAATGGAAGGGGGTTCCCCTTCTAAACACTAACACCATCCACACTCTCCTCTCCTCCCATCCCATCAATCATCACCAGATCTTCAATAAAGGTAAGTGTCATGTAACTGTGCATGTCTTCTTCAATTTGTGTGTATTAAAATTAATATTTCACATGGTAAAATTTTTTTTTTCATACTTTTGGGTGTCTTGCACGGATTAATTTGATTTCCATTATTTCTTATGGGGAAAATTGATATGCTTTTCGATATTTTCGGTATTCGATGAGCTCTCAGCAACGGATTAATATCGAATATATATATATATATATATAATATATATATATATAATATTATTATTATATTATATATAGTATATGTATGATATATATGTATATATTTATATATATGTATATATATTATATATATGTATATTATATGTATATTTTAAAGTATATATATATGTATTATATATATGTTAATATATATGTATAAAATATGTATATATATAGATATAATATGTATATATGTATATATATATGTTATATAATATGTATATATATTATAAGTATATTATGTTTATATATATATATATATGTATATATATGTTATATAAATATATATTTTGTATATATATGTTATATATATGTATATATATGTATATAAATTATAAATGTATATATTATATTGTATTATGTATATGTATATATTTATGTATTTTATATATGTATTTATGTATATATATTTGTAATTTTATATGTATATATATGTATATATATGTATATATATATGTATATTATATGTATATATATGTATATATATGTATATTATGTATTTATATATGTTTTTATATATTATTTGTATATATATATGTATATATATATGTATATATATGATATATATATGTTTATATATATTGTATATATATGTATTATATATGTATATATATATATGTATATATATTGTATCTATATATGTATATATATGTATTTTATATATGTATATTATTATATGTATATATATTATGTATAATATATGTATATATATATGTATTATTTATGTTATATATATGTATATATATGTATATATATATGTTTATATTATATGTATATATATATATATATGTATATATGTATATATATATGTATATATATGTATATGATATATGTATATATTTATATTATATATATGTATTTTATATGTATTATGTATATATATTATGTAATATATGTTTATATAATGTATATGTATATTTATATATATTATATATATGTATATATATGTATATATATATATGTATAGTATATATATGTATATATATTTAGTATATATATGTAATATATGTATGTATATATGTATATTGTATATTATTTTGATATTATATATATGTATATGATTATATGTATTTATGTATATATATGTATATATATATGTATATATATGTATATATATGTATATATATGTATATGTATTTATATGTATATGTAATATATGTATAATTGAAAATTTTTATATGTATATAATGTATATGTATATATATGTATATGAAATGTATTTGTATAATATTGATATGTTTTGTATGGTATATTATTTTATAATGTAATATGTAAATTATATGTTTTTATGTATATATATTATTTTTGTATATATAGTTTTAAGTATAATATTTTATAGAATATTTTATTTATACTATAAAATATGTATACTATATAAATGTATACGTATAAATATTATACGTATATATAGGGTTTAGGGAATATTTTAAAACGTTAATATATGTATCCCTAAAAAAATTTACGTTAATTTTAAATATATATATATGTATATTTTAATTTTAATATATATTATAAAAATTAAAAAATAATTTTTTTTAAAATTTTATTAAATAAAATATATATAATAAATATAAAAAATATATATATATATATATATAAAATAAAAATTAAATATAAAAAATATATAAATAAAAAATAATATTTAAATATGATTATATATATAATAAATTATATTAAATATATATTAAATATAAATGAAATAAAAATAAGGTAAAATATTTTATAATATTTTAAATTAAAATTTTATATATTATAGTAATAAAATTAAATTAAATTGTTAAAAATGATAAAAATGAAAAAGAAAAATTATAAAAATATAAAAAATAAAAAAAAATAATATTAAAAAAATAAGAAAATGAATAAAAATAAAAATTAAAATAAAAAAAAAAAAAAAAACCAAAA